GGCCCGGCCCCACAACCTGCCCTGGTGTGGTGACTGAGGGGGGCCGGGCCCCCAACCTGCCCTTGTGTGCACAACAGGCGTGGCCGGGCCGTGGCTAGAAACGGGGCCGCACAACAGGCGTGGCCGGGCCGTGGCTAGAAACGGGGCCGCACAACAGGCGTGGCCGGGCCGTGGCTAGAAACGGGGCCGCACAACAGGCGTGGCCGGGCCGTGGCTAGAAACGGGGCCGCACAACAGGCGTGGCCGGGCCGTGGCTAGAAACGGGGCCGCACAACAGGCGTGGCCGGGCCGTGGCTAGAAACGGGGCCGCACAACAGGCGTGGCCGGGCCGTGGCTAGAAACGGGGCCGCACAACAGGCGTGGCCGGGCCGTGGCTAGAAACGGGGCCGCACAACAGGCGTGGCCGGGCCGTGGCTAGAAACGGGGCCGCACAACAGGCGTGGCCGGGCCGTGGCTAGAAACGGGGCCGCACAACAGGCGTGGCCGGGCCGTGGCTAGAAACGGGGCCGCACAACAGGCGTGGCCGGGCCGTGGCTAGAAACGGGGCCGCACAACAGGCGTGGCCGGGCCGTGGCTAGAAACGGGGCCGCACAACAGGCGTGGCCGGGCCGTGGCTAGAAACGGGGCCGCACAACAGGCGTGGCCGGGCCGTGGCTAGAAACGGGGCCGCACAACAGGCGTGGCCGGGCCGTGGCTAGAAACGGGGCCGCACAACAGGCGTGGCCGGGCCGTGGCTAGAAACGGGGCCGCACAACAGGCGTGGCCGGGCCGTGGCTAGAAACGGGGCCGCACAACAGGCGTGGCCGGGCCGTGGCTAGAAACGGGGCCGCACAACAGGCGTGGCCGGGCCGTGGCTAGAAACGGGGCCGCACAACAGGCGTGGCCGGGCCGTGGCTAGAAACGGGGCCGCACAACAGGCGTGGCCGGGCCGTGGCTAGAAACGGGGCCGCACAACAGGCGTGGCCGGGCCGTGGCTAGAAACGGGGCCGCACAACAGGCGTGGCCGGGCCGTGGCTAGAAACGGGGCCGCACAACAGGCGTGGCCGGGCCGTGGCTAGAAACGGGGCCGCACAACAGGCGTGGCCGGGCCGTGGCTAGAAACGGGGCCGCACAACAGGCGTGGCCGGGCCGTGGCTAGAAACGGGGCCGCACAACAGGCGTGGCCGGGCCGTGGCTAGAAACGGGGCCGCACAACAGGCGTGGCCGGGCCGTGGCTAGAAACGGGGCCGCACAACAGGCGTGGCCGGGCCGTGGCTAGAAACGGGGCCGCACAACAGGCGTGGCCGGGCCGTGGCTAGAAACGGGGCCGCACAACAGGCGTGGCCGGGCCGTGGCTAGAAACGGGGCCGCACAACAGGCGTGGCCGGGCCGTGGCTAGAAACGGGGCCGCACAACAGGCGTGGCCGGGCCGTGGCTAGAAACGGGGCCGCACAACAGGCGTGGCCGGGCCGTGGCTAGAAACGGGGCCGCACAACAGGCGTGGCCGGGCCGTGGCTAGAAACGGGGCCGCACAACAGGCGTGGCCGGGCCGTGGCTAGAAACGGGGCCGCACAACAGGCGTGGCCGGGCCGTGGCTAGAAACGGGGCCGCACAACAGGCGTGGCCGGGCCGTGGCTAGAAACGGGGCCGCACAACAGGCGTGGCCGGGCCGTGGCTAGAAACGGGGCCGCACAACAGGCGTGGCCGGGCCGTGGCTAGAAACGGGGCCGCACAACAGGCGTGGCCGGGCCGTGGCTAGAAACGGGGCCGCACAACAGGCGTGGCCGGGCCGTGGCTAGAAACGGGGCCGCACAACAGGCGTGGCCGGGCCGTGGCTAGAAAGCTGTTCCAGCTCACAGGGAGGATGGGACCCCTCATTAGCCTGCCCGCTCTGGAGCATTGGCCTCTCCCGATTGGTCCTGGGCACTGTCAGGCTCCGGGCCCTGATTCCCATCGAGAAAGGGGTGCAGCCGTCTGGGAAGGCTGGGAGCCCCGGCCCAGGGTCAGGGCTCCGGGCCCCTCCGAGGCGGCTGGCGCTCTCGTGGGCTCTGCGGTCGCTCCCCGAGCAGTGGGGTACGGAAGCGTCCCCAGGTGGG